AAAATCGCATAACAGCCGAGCATACACCCAGCAGCACTGCTGATGCCTGAACGGTATGTGGAATGAAGTGGGCGGGCATCGGGAGGCCACTATGGCACGGGGCAAGCACTATGGGCAGTCTATCTGAAGTGTACCTGGCGTATAAGACGACCCCCCACTTGGAGGCATATTTTTCAGGGCCAAAAAATCGTCTTATACGCCGGCAAATACGGTATTTAAAAAAAAGAAAGAAAGAAAATAGACATTCCTTTAAAGTAAAAGAAATGCCTATCTCAAAAGTTTAGGCAGACCAAGAGTACTGTCCTTAAAAGATTGATATTTTAATTGGGAGTAGAGAGTATTTAAAAGCAAGTATCAAGGTGTAGACTGATTTTTTTTCTCCCAATGACTACTTTTTACTATTTTGTTTGATCTATGTTGGTTGCTTTTAAAAATAAAACTGTATTTGTCCTAATACTTTAATTTTGTTTAATTGCCACTTACTGTAGTACAGAAACTGTTTGCAGAACTTCACTATATTCATCTTATGGTTGTTTGAACACAGTGCTTGCTGATTTCCCTTTAAACTGTTAGCAGGTAGCTTTTGTAAAATAAAGGTCCTGTATCTCCCTTTTCTGATAGAATCTTTTTTCAATCAACATTTATTATAGCTGCTATACAAGTAATAAGTTCCAGTGGAAACTTGACAGGAATTGCCTTATGCAGGTTTAGAAACCATTGCAGGTTTCTATTTTTAGACTAGTTATTGGTAAGCCATTTAGAAACTTTATTTCCATTCAAGTCATTCAATCTATCACAATTTTAATTGGAGAAATGAATTTAACTTTAATTGCATGTGTTACTAATAGTTTCATTTTTCAGAATTTGAGGGAAGTTATCCAAGTTATTTACGACAATTTTTTTATAAAGCAATTCCACAATCACCTTTAGTTTCACAAGTATTCAGTGTGCATGCCATTGAAGAAGTGAAAGTGAAAGTAAAGATAAAATGCGAAGTAGTTGTCCTCAGTAAATAAAATTTTGGCTTAAACTTCTTGATATTAATGTGGGGGGACAATTATGTGAAGACTGAATTTTCACTTCAGATAAGAATGTAGTTGATTTCTGAGATCTTTGGAAACATATTTATTGTCCATCTGTGCTCTGTTGATATTGTTCACTTATGAAAATGAAAGCAAATGTGGATAGTTTTCATTAGAATAACAGGTATACTTACAAGTACACTAGAATATAGTAGATACATGTACATTATATATTATGATATATTAGGTATATTAGAACAGGTATACTCACCTTCAGAGGATACTTTCAGCAGTATACCAAAAGATGATAAAATCAAATTATATGATTGAAGTAGAATTCCTTTTAAGTTTAAAACACACCGATTTCTATGGATTAATGTATGTAGATGAGGTGTTTAATGAGTATTCAGACATTCTATCCATGCCTATCCCTTTCCTTATGCTCTGTGTTCACTTGTCAGTCAGATATTATACGATTTCATTAATTAATATAAAATTCTGCTTTTTAGTCAGTTCTGTTATTTAATATCACCAATAATATTTTTTCCCTAACTTAAGAAGATAAGATGCAGAAGTCCAGACCTAGGAAGCCACGAAGGACTAGAAATGGGGAAAGTGAACTGGACGGGGACTTGGAAGGCCCTGTGATCCACGAGCCTGTGCTTTCAGCAAAGGAGCTCCTGGGTTTACAGCAGGCTGAGGAGCGATTGAAAAGGGACTGCATTGACAGGCTGAAAAGGGTAACAACTTTTATTTGTTAGTTAAAATCCTTGTTTTGTTTAAACTGTGTTAGTAATTGGGGATATGTGCTTTGGTGAATTAGATATCCTTCTTTGGTTATTAGTATTGAAGCACTGAAAGCTACAAGTGATAGTAAGTTTGATTTAATGAATTACTTAAATAAAAATGACTATTAAGATAGTGAGAGAGTGACAGTAACATATTAACAATTTTAAGAGTGGAGGGGAAGTCATCTGCCTAATTTTTGTTGACCTATAGTTTTAAAGATAAATATCTTATAAATCTCTTCAAATTATAGCGACCAAGAAACTACCCTACAGCAAAGTACACCTGCAAACTTTGTGATGTTTTCATTGAATCTATTGCATTTGCCCATAAGCATATCAAAGAGAAGAGGCACAAGAAAAACATTAAGGTAAATTTAAAGTAACCAAAACAAATGTTTACCTGTCAGTTGTTATTTCTTGTCTTTGTGACTTTCCTCTCCTTAATAACTTTGCTACCTATATTATTGAATTTACCCAAAATACTTTATGCTGCTCAGACATGTTTTACTGGGTAGTCTTAGGAATTTCCTTAAGGACACTATGAAGATGAACAAAGTCTTTGATAGGACTTTAGTATATGTCGTTATGCCAGTAATAAAATAATTTGTCGTTGCTGTTTTTAATATTCTCTTTTTAGCACTTTTTTCTTATTCCTGCCTTCCTGCTATTATTACTTTATGTGCATGAAGAAATGTTTGATAACATGAAAACTAACACAGCTAAAGTAAAAGGGAAGGCTAAGAATATACTATAGTGTTGTCTTGGTAAATGGTAGAAGGTTAAAAAAGTGTGTCACTTTTTAATCTCAACATTGGTCTTAAAAGGAGAAGCAGGAGGAAGAGTTGCTCACTACATTACCCCCGCCTACGCCCTCCCAGATAAATGCAATTGGTATTGCCATTGACAAGGTTGTACAGGAGTTTGGGTTACTCAATGAGAACTTGGAACAGAGACTAGAAATTAAACGTATCATGGAAAATGTGTTCCAACACAAGTTACCAGGTATTTTCTAGATTTGTTTTTCTATTTACCTAGCTAAAGGTACTTCAATCATTTTACCTACTAGTAATAATCTTCACCTAATAGAAATTGATTTGCCATATCTTTATTTTTTGCCTGTTTTTGTTTTTCCTGGCTTCCCCTGAGGAAACAAAGACTTTTACATTCATTGTCATTAAACCTGTTTTCATTTGAATTTCATTATGTGCATGTACTTGAAATTAAATGCCCCATATTAGTGGGGCACTATGGGACTCTTGTGTATATATTTGTTTACCTTTCTACCTATTTAAATTAACGTAATATTTTGAGTTAAAATACAGAGAAGTATGTTGGAGTCAGTTTCATGTATCTGTGTCCAAAAAAGGTTCTATTTAACCACACTTAAAGACTTATAATATCTAAAATGAGCTTTGCAAACTAATTTGCAATAGATTTTGTGTACTGTTGAATTCATTCTCCATATTATGTCTGTGGAGCCATGGGAAACTATTTTTTAGGATGTTTCTCAAGTGATTCTAAAACACAGCTAGGGTTGAAATCACTGTTTTAATTATTACCATATTACCCATAGAACCATTTGCTCCACTGTAAGATCATTACATATATAGGTATCATTCATATTCATACATGCTTTCATAAAAATAAAGGGTGAGAATTTGCTCATTTCATTATATAGGGACCTCATTCTTTATGTTGTAGATAGTTCCTGAAATGTCACTTATAATTTTGATGTATTTTGCCAGAGACTTCCATTGTAAAATTGAATGTATTTTTCCATGGGAAACTTTTAAAGCCCAAAGAAATCACTTGACTTAACCTGGGGGAAAAAAATCCACAAAGTTTCCTGATGAGAAAGGATAAAATTTTGGCACAATGGTGGTAAAACATTGACTGGTAAATATAGGCCATATACACACTTTTCTCTGAAAAGTGAATCACATGTTGCCTAGTGTTTTATATCAGTTATATAATTATTTTTCAAAAGTTTTCCTAAAGGGATTATATTATGTTAAATCCTTTTTGTTTATCGTATGAGTATTCCTATTAAAAATCTTTATGCCAAATGTCATTTTTATGATTATTGGTCTATAGAAACAAAATTTTTTATAGTAAATTACACCTTATGTGGCCTTTCTAAAAGGTGAAGTGTTTGCATTATCTCTTTAGTATACTATCAGGTTTATAAATATAAAACAAAGTTAGCCATTTCTTTTCATTTTCACATTTAAACATTTTAAAAATGATAGCAAGTGGTATTTTTTGTACAAAATGTGAAATAATAATTTAGGAATTTTTAAAATATGTTTTACAACTGAAAAGAGTAGCCCTGATGCTAAATCACTGTCAATGCAGTCTTCCCTATTAAATGAAATAAAATAAAATAAAGAGCAAAAGGTCACCCTTGCTATCCTTTGTTTATGCCAGACTTGAATAGTGCTTTGCTTTTGTGTATAGTTTTAATTGATGGTCCTATTTCTGAAATAACAGTGTTTTGTTATAACTTTCAAGAAATTTTACCTTTATTTATGGCTTTTATTTATTTACTTTCTTTTTAGATTGTTCTCTAAGATTATATGGGTCATCCTGTAGCCAATTGGGTTTCAAAAATTCGGATGTAAACATTGACATTCAATTTCCAGCCATTGTAAGTACAAAATGAAATGTTGGAATTTTCATAGAGTGATATGGAAATTCTATTTTTCAAATATGAATATAGTTTAGAGATTTGCAGGTTCTTTTAAGTGTATGATGGCAGCTTTTTTTTCCTAAAATTTCTATTTCTATTTTCTTTTGCCTGTCTTCAGCTTGAGGGCATTATTTCAAATACTCTACAGTTTTTCATACTTACTTTACTCTTTTAGATCTTTCATACCTCAAATACTGGTATTCTTACCATGTGAATCTTATGGGACTATTTAGGTTCAGTTAACTTGAAATGATTAAATTACCTTGGGAAAGTCAACTTTCCAGTGCAGGAAAGAATTTTAGATGTTAAACAGTGTAGATATATAACTTTTATGACCTGAAAGCTTAATTTGCTTCTGGGTTTCCTCTCTTATACACCTACTTTATTAAAATAATTATGCTTTTTTTTTTTTCCTCCTATCCCCAGCCACTCAAAAATAATTATGCTTTTGAAGAACCACACATGACCTAACTTTCTGGTTTAAACATGACTCAAAAAAACTTTTGATGAGTCAGAATTTTAAAACTGGGAGGCACTTTAGTAGATTATCCATTTATCCACTAGTGGTTATACCGTGGCCCAGTGGGTAGATGGTTCGTGCCCATTTAATTTACCTGGGTTGCTAGTTCAAATACAAATTCCTGGGTTCTACCCACAGATGTTCTATTTCACAACCTCATTCTTTGCCATCCTGGGTACTATTGCGCCATGGTCAGCTGACCAATAGATTTTACTATTCTTTTAACCTTAAATTATGATTAGTAATTTACCAGCACAGCAGTTTTGATTCATTCCTTCATTTAGCAAATATTCACTGAGTCTCAGAGAGTGAGAGAGGTAATATTGTTCACAGTATGTCAGCTTCTAGCCACAGCTTTTGAGATTTGCTGAGAGGCTAAGTAACTCAGGAATTAGATAATTTGGAGTTAACTGTGTAGTAGGTCTCCTTTGCCCATATTCATCCTTGTTTGGTGCTCATTTCTCTGTCCCTGACCAATATAATGATTAATTTCTTTACTCTGGTGGTAATGTACTTTCTAATTTGGATAATTTCAGATGACTGTATATCATCTCAGTGAAGCAAAAGTACTTGCAGATAATTTGATGTATTCATTGATCTATTTTCTAGATGTCTCAGCCAGATGTTCTCCTACTTGTTCAGGAATGTTTAAAGAACAGTGGTAAGGCCAGATTCTTTCTACATTTTACTTTTAAATGTTTCTTTTGTCTATAATTTGAATATATCATTTCTGAAACTTTGAAAATCGGAAGTCATTATTTAGCTTGATAATAATGTCACAATTTGTAAAGATTAAATGAACCTTAGACCAAGTCTAAAAAGACACAAAATATGTAAAATTTACTCTTGAGGGTAAAACTGAAGGGTAATCTGCTTTATACAGTGGTTTAAATTAATACTTTCTAATGGCACATAGTCGTGACCCAACCCTGATTAATGAATCAACAGTTGTTCCCAAATAGACTTGTCAGTTGTCCAGCTTGGGATTTAATGGCTTTTTATTATTTCCAAAGGTCTCATCCAACTGTCTTCTCTATTGAATTAGTTTTTCCCATCCTTCTTGTTGAATTAAACCTGTAAACATATTTTTTTACTTAATATATTTTTTTACATCAAATATTTTAGAAACTTTTGCAGCAATTTTGTTTGAATAGCCTACACATATTTCTAATTATGTTATTCATATAACATTTAAACAGTCTAATTCAATAATGTAGTCATTTTCAGTCAAACATAGTTTTACAAAATAAGGGTTTCAAATTAACATGATTACTTAGTTCTTAAATATAATACTTGTTACTTTTCAATTCATCTTGGAGCTTTACTTAATAATGGTTTTGGAAAAGGCAGAGCAGATAAGTCACAGCTGGAACTTGTAGTTTATCTAGTTCTCTATTTAAACAAAAGTATAATTAACTTACTTAATATTTTTATCTTCTTTCCTCAGATTCTTTTATTGATGTTGATGCAGATTTTCATGCTAGGGTGCCAATGGTGGTGTGCAAAGAAAAGAAAAGGTCTGTTTCTTTAAGCTGTTTATATATTAAATATCAACTTGACAAAAGCACGTGTATTTCACTAAACCTTTTTTTTTCTATACTTCACTAAATCTTATGTCTAATTTCTAGATTGATAGAGTCCTTATGTGGTTAATTTCATAGGCGTACTACTAGCTTTCTCCTTATACTTTTGGCAATAGATGCAAAAGAAAACTTTTATTTTGAAAAGAATAAAATTTTTTAAAAGGAAAAAATAGAAGAAGGAAGCATTTTGACCCATTTCAACATGGTAAAAGACAACTTAATCAATTACTTGCTCTGATCACCTTTTGCCATCTTTTTAGCAGCATTTTTAGCACTGCTAAATAGCAATTAGATGACTTCACCCATGTATTTCTCTCTTCATCTGGAAGTACTATCAGTACTATAAGTGGGTGGTTTACAGGCTGTAATGATTGTTTACTAGGCAGATTTCTACAACTCTTGGGAGAACACTCTTGTATACTTACAAATAGGAATTCATGCTCTCATTTGAAATATTTTATAGTATTCCCTTATTTTCTTTTTTTTAAATATATATTTTATTGATTTTTTACAGAGAGGAAGGGAGAGGGATAGAGAGTTAGAAACATCGATGAGAGAGAAGCATCGATCAGCTGCCTCCTACACACCCCCTACTGGGGATGTGCCTGCAACCAAGGTACATGCCCTTGACTGGAATCGAACCTGGGACCCTTCAGTCCCCAGGTCGACGCTGTATCCAGTGAGCCAAACTGGCTAGGGCAGTATTCCCTTATTTTCATTTCCACACAAAATAGTTTTAATGTATGAAAGTGCATAGTTTTTAGTTCTGAAAATAAAATTCACTCAGAAAACGGCTGCCCTATTTTTTTATTTTTTATTAAAAACAACAACAACACACTTTCTTAAGTGACCCTTAAAGATTTAGTGAGTTTTGGGGTTTTAATACTTTACTTTCATTTTTAAAGAACTTATTATCAATGTAAATTAGTTGTTGGCATGAAAGATACCTGATAACCTATATAACACTTTTTATCTTTTCTTTTTCCTTCCCATCCTCATCTCTGCCCCCTCCAGTGGACTTCTTTGTAAAGTGAGTGCAGGAAATGAACATGCTTGTCTGACAACAAATCACTTAACTGCCCTTGGAAAACTAGAACCAAAGCTGGTTCCTTTGGTGATTGCATTTAGGTACTGGGCAAAGGTAGGTCTAGTTCTTAAGTTTGTGAATACATTCTGTGTATATGCTTTGATTTTTGTATGGTTAGTTTAATCTTAAATGTTTAAAGGCATATTTATAAACACAAAGAGAGTAGGCATCTGAATATTGGAACAGAAATTGTTTTTTAAATATGTTTTATTGATCTCAGAGAGTAAGGGAGAGGAAGAGAGAGAGGTAGAAACATCAATGATGAGAGAGAATCATTGATTGGCTGCCTCCAGCCTGCCTCCTACTGGGGATCAAGCCTACAACCGGGCATGTGCCCTTGAATCGAACCTGTGACCCTCCAGTCCACAGGCCAATGCTCTGTCCACTGAGCCAAACCAGCTAGGGTGGACCAGAAATTTTAATGTGCACAGAAAGGGAAATTTATTGTTTCTGTTTCACTATATAGTAGTATTGTTCAAAAGATTTATAGTGCATATTATAAATCAGACTTGTGAGTCAAATCCCAGAAGACATGGCCCAAGAATTTACATTTTAACTATTTTTATGAGGTTTTATGGGGATTATAAGCCACAGGAAAGCTTGAGGTAAAGCTTCATTTCCAGTAATACTGTTTGAATACCCAGAGACTCCAAAAAATGAAAGCCACTATCTGGTGTTGCTCACATTTTCATAATGTTTTAAATACAGTACCTCAGTTAAAATGCGAGTAGAGCATTTAACATTGCCCCAAAACGTAAGGTCCCATCGTGACTATAAAAATGAGTTGCTCTGCAGGTGCTTTATAGAGAAAATCCAAAGGTTTACTGATTAATATATAGCAGTAACAATGTATATAGTTCCTGTGGCTTGTGGCCAAGCTTAACAGAGAGTACCTCACTCTTAACTGGGTAAGTTGATAATGACAGTATGCCATTCTTTGAAAGCTGCCTCCTGCTTTATCACTAAATAGTCCATCCTTTTTATTTTTATTTTAATCCTCGCCCAATGACACACAGAGAGGAAGGGAAAGGGAGAGAAACATCAATCAGTTGCCTTCTGTATGTGCCCTCACTGGAAATTGAACCAGCAACCTTTCAGTGCACAGAACAACGGTCAACCAGCTGAGCCACTCTGGCCAGGTTAAACCATGCTTTTAAGTTGTTTTTGTTAGTGTTAATGAATCTGCCCACATTCTCTCCCCTGATCACTTATGTGGTCAAAGCATGCATTTTCAAGGCAGTAGGTTAGGATGGTGAGGGCTTGCACTTGGAATCGAACCATCGTTTTGATTTCATTAACAAATGTTTTAACCAAGTGAATGGATTACTGTGGATGTGAAAAAACTGAAACAGCAAATAGTATGTTAGAAACCTTTACAAATAAGTGTAGTTAATAAGATTAAAATGTTGAAATTAGAGCTGTTACTCAAAACCACAATATGTGGTTGCTCCAAAAGTATAAGGAGGCTTTACATTATGTCACTGTGGTGTTTTATTTGAGGAGTAAATTATGTAATACAAGGAAAAGAAGAGACAGGTTTTAGACCAAATTATATAACAGGGTGGTTACAAATGAATGCTTATCCTCTTTTCTCTCATTTGTAGCTTTGCAGTATAGATCGCCCTGAAGAAGGAGGTTTGCCACCCTATGTGTTTGCCCTGATGACAGTTTTCTTTCTTCAGCAGAGGAAAGAACCCCTTCTACCTGTTTATCTAGGATCATGGGTATAAAACTTTTTTGATTATATATTCAATTTTGATTTTTATACAGGACCACACAATACCTGTGCATAATTTCAAAATCTAAAAACCTACTCAGAATTGACATAAATTTATCCTCTTGTGAATATTCATATATTTAAATGCTGAAATGTTAATGTATTTGTTTACAATATGCTGCTCTACCCTCTGCTGGGAGAACTATTCTAAATTGAAGAAAACACTTGTGAAATACATACGATCCTGAGGGTTTTGAACAAGAGAATGTGAACCTGTAATAAATTTATCATTTGGTACACTGTCTCTAGGTACAGTTTTATAATTTGATATAAGAATTGCTATTGATGCAGAATTTAGTAATCACCTCTTTAAATAATACTTTTCTTTAATTAAATCTTTATTGTTCAGATTGTTACAGTTGTTCCTCTTTTTTCCCCCATAGCTCCCCTCCATCCAGTTCCCATCCCACCCTCTGTCCTTACACCCCACCCCCCACTGTCCTCATCCATAGGTGTACGATTTTTGTCCAGTCTCTTCCCGCACTCCCCATACCCCTTT